CTCTTGACAGATGTTTATATAAATTTGAGTATGTTATTTTAGTTTACTCTTAAGTGTCCAACATTACCCATTTTCTCCTACAGAAATTAAATTTTTCCTGTTGATTGAAACAGGAAAAATTACTTTAAATTAATCTATGATTGACTAGATTAATAAAAATAATGCTCAATGAGTGATCATTATTTTTCAAATATATTTGCAATTTGCAATAGTTTCTCTTAATAGAAAAATAAACAAAAAAAGAAAAGAAGTTCATATAATCCTTAGGTAGCTTAATAAAAGAGATTGGTGTTAGCTGTAACATGTATATTTTAGCCACTTCTGCTTTGGAGCAATCAACATTAAACATTGAAAATATTGATGTGAAGGAACCAGAATGGAAAATTAGAAATTAAATGCTTAAACAACTAAAATATTTAAAAATTTTTCCAAAATTCTTTGTAGTTCTCTCTGAATTATCTATATTTTGGTATAGGTATGACATATTAACTGCACCAATCTGTTTCTGCTCCTTTGTAGCAATAACCTTACTTGGTGTTTGAACTGTTACACAAGGCTCAACAACATTGTAAATGTGTGGTTCAAACTTGTGCCTTTCCACCACTTCAGAAAGGTTATCAAAGAATTTCTTACATTCAGCATATTCATTAAGTGAAATTCATGGCTATTGCAAGACTAGTCAACTCAGGTTTTCTACTAAGGATAGCTGGATGTTTTGCTTTAAAAAGTAATTTAGCCAGTCAACTCCAGCCATTTCATTTTCATTCCACTTTTCTGGAGTCCAAGTTATATTTCACAGCACATTTCATCCTATTGATTAATATTTCACAGTACACTGTTAACCAGCTTTTGAGCATCCCTGGATGGCTATACCACTGCTAGTGCCAATCTTATGTAGGAAAACAGGATTGTTTCCAGTTCACTTGTAAACACATAGTTGTGAGGTTTATAACCAGTAAATGGGTGGCACAATTGTTGATTGTTGCTCCATTGACTGTCACATCTTTGGTACAATATCTGTGCAAAGAAATATAGCAAATATTTAAAATATAACAAGAAAGAAGAGAATTCATTTATTTTTAGAATAGGTCCTTTCAAATCGTAAAAATAATTCCTTGCAACAGTGTTATAATTGACTCCTTT